ATGGCTAGCTGGCACGTGGATTTCAGTCTCCAAAAGATCTTCAGCCTAAGACCTCGTAATCACAAGAGATGGCAAATCTCAGAGGCTTTGTTTATCATTCGCAGAAGCAAATTGTGAAAACTCTTGAAATGACAGCCACTGTGCTTATTCCAGAATATGCTGAATTGTACTATTTAGAAGAATTCATTTAATTTTTCTGCAACAGAGAAGAACTCCTTTTTTGAGCTTTTTAAGGGTAAGTAGCTTCCAAAAGGAAGATAATTTCTGGTAATAAGTGGCACAGCAGAGCTTACAGAGTCCTTCACTATATAGTAAGACTACACATCTCTCAATAAATGCTGCCAAAGAAGACACCCTGCAGCAAAACCCAAGTAGGAGGATAGGAGAAAGGGTAGAAGATACAAAAAAAAAAAAAGGCATTTGGCACGTGCAGGTTAATAATACTACAGCTTAGTTTGTCACCATATTAGCTTTTATTCATGTCATTTCAACATCTTTTTCTCTTCCACTGGACTGAGATAGATGCTAAAGGCTAAATATAGAAAGGATCCAAGTTACCTGAAGTGGGTCTCAGGTGGACTATGCGATGAAATTGTCATCCTCTTCCTTACCTAAAATTCACAGATACTGCAGTGTGCAAAGCTAGAGCTCCTTGCATTTAGATGTTTAATCTCTTTACATAACCAGTCTTTGTTCCTAGCTCACTCCTAGTGCCAACAGAGAGCTGGAAAGCAGACGTTTCTTCTCCTAGATCTGCTGAGGACTTCATTTGCCAGGGACTTCCAGGACCTCAAATACTGGTAGGGTCAGGTCCTCCTTAATTCTATAACATGCAGAGAATAGGTGCAATATACTCCTTTTGGTCAACACCGTCACAATCAGACAATTAGTTCAAGAAGGAAGCTAGGTAGACTTAATCCTTTATCTTTCTGAGAATATTCAAGCCCACACTTGACTAAACTATGCCTTTCCTAGGCTGAGACACTGTCCTTTGCTCCATTTGAAGCTGTGGCACAACACAGCAACAACACCAGACCTCACTAGACCAGAAAGTAAGTGCCCACTAAGTGCCTGCCCTTCCAGGTTCTCCCTCGTTGGGTGCAGGAATGACAAGGTCTCTTCAGTAGCCATTGTACCAAATACATACATCGCTCGTGGACTCAGTTTCTCCTCCTGGCTGATCCTGATTTTCCCTCCAGTACAGTTATATTTGCTCTTTGGCCCACTTATTTCTTTCATGCAGTCTCTGGCTCGACTAAGCCCTTTGTGCAGGGTGGCACAGCAGTAACAGGAGGAGTGGAGGACACTTCTCAGACTGACTGGCCTAAGATGACCCTTTGGAAGGTGAAACGTGGGCCTGGACATGCTTGTTCCCCTCATTAGAAGAGTGATTCAAACCCACTTTCTGGGTCAAGAACTTATGGGTCTACTATGAAGTGATCTCAGTCTGCTATGAAAAGCTGGGCACTACCACTCTTCCCCTGAGTTAAAGGGGAGGCCTTGCTCTTGTGCTTGCAAAGAACAAATCTAAGTAAGTGCCAAGTTCCCAGAGACATTCAGGTCTGCAGATCTTCTGAGGATGGAAGACTTTCTGTAGCCCTAAGATATCTGAATGACGGGATTTTCAACTTGCTTTCACATTTTGGCTGTTCCATAGGCAAAACTAATTTTAAAAGTTCTCCATTCAGCTTGTGAATTATTTTGGATCACATTGTGAAGCACTACGGCACCTTAATTTTAGGCATTTACTTCTATGAGGAACACACTTTAGCACGCATTTCAGAAGAAGAGGACACCATGCACTGATTCCCTCTCACATGGCCTATTCTGCACTGACCTTCTCTAGCTCCTCCCAATAAGCAGAACAACTGCTGCCTATCTAGTTGAGCCTTTTGTAAACTAGATGCAAATGTTTTTACCCTATTTAGCTTCTCAGGTGGGCAGCACAAGCAGATGAATGACTTCTGCCTTGGGACAGCAAACCGTGAGAAATATCTTCTCATTCCTGACTTAGAGGAGAAAAATATCACATACTTGCATACAACCGGATTGTTTAATATGTTCACAAATCAATTTTATTAATTTAAAACAAAATTAATGACAAAAAATTCTGTACACAGTTGTGGACACAACACACTTTTTTGTACAATAAGGCCCAGATAAACTGTTTTTTCAGTCTGCGAGTGACTAAAAAATTGAAAAGCGCCCCCTAAAAAAAGAAAAGACAACCAACTCCCCATCACTGTCTACTTTGCTTGAAGAAAAAAAGGCTAATTATAGTCTCAATTCTAAAAACTACCTACCACGTGCTTTATGTATGTATGTGAGTACCGGGTGAATTCCAATACTCATATTGTGTAAAGTAAAGCACATGTGCAAGTCTTGGTAGGATAAAAACCTCTTCGTTGGTAATAAAGCAATTTGGAAATCCACAAACATTGAATTCTAGCAGCAATATGATTCCTCCAATACAGAAGGGTGTTGCTTTGAAGCTACGTTGGTGCTTTGTAGCTGTTTCAAGGCTGGTGTTTTTAGCAAAAGAAAACAAGAAGAAAAGCTGGAGAATGAACCCAGAAAGCTGAGGTTTCTTTTTAATGAAGGGATTTAAACCAGGTAAAGGGAATTGGTACAATTCAAGCCAAAAAGTCAGACTCACAGTTTATCTGACCAAGTAGCTCATGGCCTTCAGGATTAGAAAAGTCACAAGTCACAGACAGACACAGTCTAAGGTTGTCCTGTAATTGGATATAGACGAAACAAATTTCAGCTCCTTGGCGATAACTATTTCAGTATTTCCATTGCCGGCAATGGATGTTATATCTTAGGAAAATCTGACTCCTGGTGGAAGAGGATTAAAAGACTTAAATGTATAGATCTGGATATGAGTATTTCTTGCTCAATCTCTCAAAAACATTCCCATTTCTGATTTCTAAAAATAAAGATGATAATTTCCTTTATTTTTGGATGAGACAAAAACTATTTGGTACCTAGATTCCAGTTTAAGTCATGTCTTAAAATATATTTGTGTTTTCTATATACTTCTTTATGGAATGAATCTGTAATTCATTTTTCAATACTCTAAAAGCGTGTTACTATGTTAACACTAAAAGAGAAAACAAAAGATATCAAGAGACTCCTCTTCACTTACTTGTTTCATCTGCGTTTGCTTAGTAGGGGGAAAGAAATCAATCTTTTCATAGTCAGAGTAGCTGAGAGATAAGAAGGTAGAGAAATAGCTGAAAAAGAACAAAACCCAATTCCTATTGACACTTGACATCCATGCTTTTGGTCTTGACAAATTTATCTAAAAAATCCATTATCTACATATTTATATCCAACACATTGATAAGGCACCGCACAATATTTTGTGCACACACGGCCTCATTCTTCACCAACAAGGCATTACTATCTTTCAATAGCATTTACCTTAACAATATGTAAAAGAATCATTCATTATTACAAATTTACACAAAAAATTCTTCCTGTACATGATTGTCTCAGTGATGTACCTATTACTTTAAATTAGACATATTTTAAACTACTCTGTAATGTGCTAAAATCAAAAGTAGTTGCTGTATCATAAGGCAAAGGCTTATAATAGCCTTTAATCCTATTATACATATCCTCAGTTATACGATGTCAAAATATAGTCTGTTCATAAATAAGTAAAGATGTACAGAGTACCCTGGGTATGAGAAACCAAAAAGTAAACCTTCTTTACAAGAAAATTACTCCACTGGTATTTTGAAAATCTCAGTCTTCATTGTGCAATCAAGTTTGCTGTGTTGAAGAAACGGTGTGTGTCACATTGAAGAGTCTAAAAACTACAAAGCATTTGCAGGTCCTTTTTTTCTTCACAGGTATGAACCTTTTATTTCCTTTTCTTTCATTTCTACTTCTTCTTGGTAGCAAATATGATAAAGACGAGTTGTTAAAACATTCGCATGGCTTATTTTCGTTGGACTCGCAGTACCAGAGTCAACAGCTGTTCTGAAGAAAAAGACGTGCTCCTCCATTTACTAAGAGGGCAAGGGTTAAGACCAATTGCAGCTGTACGTCAACATGTTGAAATCACAAAGTTCTGTAGTCCAATGCTGACACAAGACACAGGCATACCGTCCGCGGGCACAGGGAGGTTCTGGGGTTTCAAAGTGCTGCTGAGCTGCTACAAGTACTCCAGTTCCAAGGCATGATGAAGGGCCATAAGGTCAGAGTGGCTTGAGATCCTCCAAAATGGCATAGCATGCTGTGAACAGCACAGACAAAATGTAAAAATAACCCCAAGCATTCTGGTATTTAGACCCACCCATTGTCTTGTGCAAGAATAAGGTAATACTACAAGGAGAACACAAGAGTCATGGCTCTTAGAAGTGCTAGCCCTTCACGTTTCTCTCTCATTTACCTACCCGCCCCCCCACCTCAGCATAAATTCTCAATAATATCAAATCTACTTGACAACAAGAACAACAACAAACATTTTAGGAGATCTTAAGGAAGGGAGGAATTTCTCATCTCTTTTTCAGAAAAGGATTTCGGCATAGTGCAAAAGAAAATATTATTTCTAGAAAGAATTTAAGGAAAAAAGTCTAGGCATGAAGCATACGGGTAGCTTGAAGAAGGGAATAACACTTGGTTAAAAATAAAAAGACAGGAAATGAAAGCATTATTTAGTATCAAAACTTATTTATTCTTTGTGGAACTATCCCTGGCAGGTGAGTTAAGAACATACCAGTGATGATTCAGAATAGCTCATATGTTGCTCACATCATTTGGAAAGGAATTTTATCCCGGTGGTTTGTACTATAATGGTCATTGTTAGCACTGATCTTAAAACATCTTTCCATATGGGAAAATTTTAAAATAAATTCATATTTTTTTCCTATTAGCTGTAATAAGATCTCACTTTGCAGCACAAGTATGTTTGCAAAGAACCTGAATAAACCAAAGATATAAATACCAGGAAAAAGCGCACATTACCTCATCCGTGAAGGGTAAAAAAACTGATTAAGAATACTCACTATCTTTATATTGCAAAACAGAGACTATAGTATCAGCAAAAACTTTTTCATAAATAAAGGAAGATAACCATCAGCTGTCTTCAGGAGAATATTCTACCAGTCTCATGGGAAAATAGTTTCAATTCAACAATATTCTGAAGGCTAACTTGATCCTGCTTACTATGATCAGTAATTCAGCTTGCGTTCTGGTATCTTTAGGATGCAAACCACAAGCAATTCGCTATCGCAATAGCTCCTGAGATTCTCAAGCATTTTATCTACAATTTCTCAGACAGGATTTCTTCATCCTCCTTCAGCAGCTCCTGAGTAAATTCGTAATTCTATGAAATCAGTGGCAAAAGTCCATTTTTTCTGATTATCATTTCTATGCTGACCTCCTTTTTTCATCCACATCATCGTCCTCAAATTTTAAATTGAAGAATAATATTGAAAACTAACAGGATGCCAATGTGAAACCAACACCAATGTGAAACCTTCTGTTCCCAGGTGTGTGTTTTCCTGTAAATGCTTACCAATTACTGTATCTTAGAAGACAAACTCCTTGGCACAGAGCCTATGATAAACTTGTCTGTAGGAGCCCAGGCAAACAACAGGCACTGTACAAATAGTAATTATTTCTAGGCTCCTTCAACTGGATAGCAGTGAGATGATGAACTCAGCTGAACTTAAGGAATAAAGCAGAGACTTTTAAAAGGAATGTAACCAGCTAAGTGGGCAAGTCTCTCTGAAGTCAAATGGCAACTGTTAAGGAACAATCAGCTGTTGCCCTTGTGAGATACAGTAGAGATAATGCTGAGCAAATTAACATGCATCAGCAAGATCTTGCTAAATAGTGGTACATGATCAGCAATGGAGCACTAGAAGCAAACTGGAAAGTACACACCTAATATAGGACAGAATACAGGCTGAGAGAGGCTGTTTGTCCATTATCAAGTCCTGCTGCACAACAGGAGTGGATTGTAGAGCTAAAGAGGTGGTGCTGCCCGCAGTATGCACAGTTTAGGGTTTTCATCTCGGAATAACTCTAGTCTGCTATCATGGAAAAATGCCCATTAGCGGTTAGAATGCATCTGGTGAGCACCTGGACAATACATTCTTGGTTAGTTATGTGGATGCATCAACAGATTCCCATGTTCAAGTTACGCCTCACTTCTAGAGCAAAGAATCTTCTTCAGGAAGAAAATAAAACGACCAACAGGGAAACACGACTGGAACAGTTTCTGATTTGTTTTGCTTTATTCCAGATTGTCACGAAGCCTTGAGAAATGGCTAACTGAATCTCAGCCTGAAAGAAGATGGGGGAGCCAGAGCTGCTTACAGAGAACTGAATGATTATCTTTTTCAGGGGAGAAAATAATAATTCAGGGACAAGTGAGATGATGTTGGAGCAAAAGCTCATAAGTCTTTCCAAAAGACTTTTCCATGTTACTCCCTTCCTTAAGAAGGAAGCGTTAAAATATGAACTGTGACATCTACCATCTCTACATCTCGATTGAGACTTCCCATTGTGTTGTCTCTGTGCTCCACCAGTGACAGAAACTACCTGCAACTAGCTCATCAGGTTACATATCCATTTCCCAGCGTCTTTCCTGTTACGCTGTGCAGATAGTCTGTCCTCTTTGCTTTGTCAAGCCAAACACTACTGCTTTCCAGCTTAAATCTTCCCTAAAGATTCATTTCTTGCTTCATGTTCAGGAAATGAACCAACATTAGCAAAAAAGAAATAAAAATTCCTAATCGTAATGTTCTCTGGACTCTCTGAAAGCTTCTGTGCACCCATCTCATTTAGGCCGTGAGATCTTCCTGCAGAGTTTGTAACATCTGATAGGGATATTACACCAACAACACCATGGGCACAGGCTGGTGCTTGCCGCAGGTTTGTGCAGGGCTTGCCAGGTTGCCTGCCTGCGGCTGGTGCTGCTCAGCAATGCTGCCTCTTGTTCTTCTGTGGCTGCAGTTTCCCTCTTCTCTCACAAGCCCACTGCTAGATAGCGCTTACTTGTTCTCCCTGGTACCCAGCCATAACTCTCTGCTTCTCGTGGTCAGCTTGACACCAATTCTACCTGAACAACTGTGTTAGGGATGTGTAAATAACATAGATAAGATGTGGCATGGTGAAGAGCCTGATGGAGATCTGCCTTTGAGCAGTGTCTACACAGAAGCCGAGAGTCCATGACATGAAAGCTGTCCAAGCTCATGCAGAGAATTAATGAACAGGGAGAACTGCAGTAGTAAATTCCTGGCTTGCAACTCCCACTTCATGCAGCCCCCACATTATACTGCTTCGCTAGTAACAACCTCAGCATCACATAGAGTACACATCAGGCATCCAGGGTGCTTACAGCACCTGATTGATTTAACAGAAGGTTTAGCTTTGCTAAATCAAAATCGCAGTGATTCTTGTTAGATGTCCATATGCAATATCAGTTTTGGATTAGTCACGGCTGTTTATGGTCAGATTTTAACCCAAAACTTTAAGTGAACATTATTTTGGCTATACCTTTAATATTCACTTAAATGTCCTTTGCTGTATTTTCTCTGTCTGTGAAAGGGGTATACCTTCATTTACTGAAAGGAGTGAGGTTTGGAATGATTGGGCCCAGAGAGTCACATGAAAAAAAGGGTTGTATAACTCTTAGGAGTATAATTATTTTCAGTTCTCCTGCAGATTGGTCAAAGGGCCAATACGACACTCCCAGCAAATAAAACATGCTGGGAATGCAGTTGCTGCAAGCGAATTGGAATCCACACCAGAGCTCTGTGCACAGGTCTCCTGCGGCCGACGCAGATCTGTATCAGTTTGATCCTATGGCACATTCTGCATAGCTAACTGGAGGGGAAACAAGCCTGATACATATCTATATATATCTCTGTGTGTGTGTGTGTGTGTGTGCACATACATACACACACACACACACACACACACATATTTGTACAGACATTTGTGTATATTTTGCATGCGCAAAGATTTTCACCATATTTAACATAACAGAAATGATTCCCCAGACCTTACACATTATTCCTGTATTAGCAAGCCCCACTATCCGCCTTGCCAAAAGTGACAATACAGTGGTGAGACAGAGGCCCATTTTTCACATCAGATGACCAGGCAGGAAGAGTTTCTTTCGATAGATATTTACCCAATATTGCCTTTAGAAAGTTATCCCTGCCAACACTTAACACACATCTGATACACAACAGGTGCCTTCTATTCTGAGCACATTGAAAAATAGTAATATCTCACTTACTACTATGTGAGAATGGATGACAAATGCTAACTGCTAATTACAGGCAGTGTGACTGCATGCATTAGTATATAATGAAAACATGAACAAGGTTTTCTTATTGCTTATTCGAGGAATGTGTATCTAGACTGGTGGTAAAACAACAATTTTCTGTACTGTTTGAATATTGTTCAAGTAAATCTGGAACTTTTGTCAATTAAAAACATGAATTGTTTTGTAGATGTTTAACAACATAGGACACTTGTTAGTTAAGTACATTTATGAAGTATTTAATGATCTACTTTTGATGGCATTTTGAAATGAAATATGGTGGGAAAAGGTTGAATTTGTTTTGGTTTAGCACAAAAAACATCAAAAGTTCTCCCCTTATTAAATTATTAAAACTAACAATTCTAAAATTATTAAATAATTGTAAAATTATTAAAGTATTTCCTTCCTGAAATAAAAAGAATATTATTTTTACAGAGTGTATTTTCTAAAAAAACAAAAACCACCAACTATGTCAAAGAGAATGAAGTGTTTCTATTCAGTACGTGTGCATGCAAAACAAAACCATTTTTTGACTGGGCAATACTGAAAAGAGGAGACTATCTTCTTTCCCTTAAAGGAGTACATATTTATACAAAAATCTTACTCCTGAGATTTGCAACATATTTGAGTAGAAGACTCATAAGTTTCTGTCACCTTTCCTGGTATTTTTGTTGTATTTCTGCCAGATTTTGCTGAGCAGTCGTCTTTACTTCCTATCACAAACCCGAACAGCACAGTGTGACTGTGAGCTTTAAAACAGTGGCATATTGGATACCCATTTATATTCTATTTATTGCTCCACCAAGATTTATGATTTTTCCTCCCAGTTTCCCTATACAGCAGAAGAGCACTATGACCACTGCAGAAACAAAGGCAGAAACCGATTTGCCCACGCTCTCCCAAACCACCTGATTTAAAATCCAGCTCCTGCATGCAGACACCCTCCTCCCCTTGTCTCATCTCCCGCGCTCAAAGTCCTTCGGAGGACTCTCATAAGCAGAAAAACTCAAGAGCTTTTTCTGCTTTACGAGTATTTCACAACTTTGTTTCCGAACGCAAACAAACAAACAAAAGAAGAGCAAAGCCCAAGACAGTGGATTTTCCGGCAGAGAAACCCAGCCAGCGCAAACTCATTCTGCCGATAGCTACGTCACCCGAGTGGTATTCAGAGAGACACTGGTCCTGCCAAGCACAGGCGCAGGGAGCCGGGGGAAGGACGAGGCTCGCAGTGGGGCACGTGCCCCTCCGGCGGGGTGCAGACCCGTGCGCCCAGGCTGTGCCCCATTTCAGCCCTGGGGACTCCCACTTCCTCACACGGGTTTTGCTCTCCCTCTCTTTTCAGGAGCAAACTGATGCAAAGGCAGCAACCTCCACGTGAACTCGGGAGTTACAGCTATCCTGACTGGGGAATTGATCCAGAAGGGTATGACTTTTCCGTAGTCTGCAATGCAAATGTCCTGAGAATTTCAATTGTCTTATAAAATATTTTGCAGGAAATGACAGCTAAACAAAGGTGTTGATACCATGGCTTGTCCCATGCTACATGAAACATAAGAGCGTGCAGTTTCCTCAGGGTATTGTATTTATTTGCATCAAAAGAGGCACTATTTTGCTTTACAAAAAAAGTCCAGCCTCAGAATACTTCTTAAAAGAGTGTAATCTTGTAAACTGTATTAATAAATCTATGTTATTAAATTTTTACAGCAACAACAATAATACAAAAGATTTTTAGTAAATAAAGGCCAGAAATGAAAATCTTGTTTTAGGATGAAGCAACTGGCTACATTGTCAGTAAATTATTTCTAGTAACAAATCTTAACTTCCCTACTCCCCAACCTGGAAGCTCAGCACTTTTCACTACAGGAACACAGAATAAAAGTCTCACAAATGAAATAGGTTTGAATGTATATGCTCACTTAAAAATACTCATTATGTAGTTTATATGTCATCAGTGAAGTGATATTTAAACAGGAAAAAAAAAAGGTAGGCTCAGTGTACTATACAGTGCAAAGAAATCTACAGACTCCTTTAGCTAGCTGCTGCGCAGGGGGATAACATGAAAGCTGTCCCTACCCGGAGAATCTCACAAAGAGCAGCTTATGCATAGGAAGGAGCCAAGCAAGGAAGCAGCTACAATGTTGAGGGGATGAGCAAGGCAGTGCCGTACTTCTGTGGACAGTCACGTCAGTTCGTGTTGATGAGTTCAGGATTTTTTTATGGGACTAAATCTCCTGTTTTGCTGGTACACTCCCTGGAGAAGGTCTAGGCTTTTACTGTAGTCTGATAGAGTGATACCATTTATTTGCTGGGCAGGGCACACGTCTCTGTGTTGAAGCATAACATACACCAGTGCGCATACCCATGCTTCCTCCTCCTAGTAATGCTAAAAACAATCTGACGAGTAGACAACAAATAAGGCTTAATTTGAATTGGGAGCAGCTCCCGCTACAGCACGGCATGTTTGGTTCTTCCTCTTGCATTGTGTGAAGGCCAAAAATTAGAGGCAAATCTTACTTTCACAGTTTGAAATAGTAGGTTCTTTTTAGGTAGAGTAAGAAGTAGGAAAAGAACCATAGGAGCATTTTCCTTAATCAAATTAATAGTTTCTGCAGAAAGGCAGGCCTGCTGGTATACTTATTGACTTCTCTGGCATTACTGTAGCAGATAATTTAATCCAGAGCATCTAACATTCTTTAAATCTGAAAATTCCTTCCATCAAGAAAGAACATACAGAAGGAATGGCACAAAGGAACTTTCTATACTGCTACTTCTCTTAGCAACTCAAAAGGTTCTTTTTCTTACGCTTTTCTGAATCATGTTTCCTGTTGAAAAAAGTATTGGATTAGCTAATATTACCGAAAGGGCTACTCCTGCCATTATCATATACAACACTATTTCACCAAGCAACAGAAAAGGAACAAAGAGAAGACTTTTTCCCCCTGATCTTAAATGCAGCTTTTAAAATGTAATCATTTACAGCGGGAAAACATTTCTCTGCAAAGATGAAAGGCATTTCTGAAGGAGAAAGGAGCAAACTGTTCCCATCAGTCCGCCAAAGGGATATATGAAACTGACACTCTCGCAAAGTGCTGAGAGGAGAGGGAACCTACCCGGAGCCGTTCAGAGGGACAAACCCCCATATTTCATGAAGCAAAACCAGTCAGCGGTGCATCTTGCAAAACTCCATGTGGACTAATTAGTTTCACTTCTCCTTTTAGAAGGTTACAGTGGAAACAGATATAGTAGCAGCACAGAGATTTTAATGGGAAAAGAGAATTTGTGTAAAAGCAATTTACCCGTAAAATGGAGGAAGAACTGACATGCCTATTTTCCTACTCTTTCTCCTGTTGTTCAAAAAGGCAAAATGATGCTTCATTTCTTCAAGCGAAGACTCCTTCTCTGCTTTACTTGAGTAGAATAACAAGTCTAGGAATATTGCCTATTATTTGTCAGTGGAGAAGAACTGCTTTTTAAGGAGCTTAGTCCTCGTTGGAAAAAAATGTGATTTTTCTCCTTTTCTCCCAGAAGAATGTGAAAGAAATATTAAAGACATGTTCAGATAGTATCCTCAGCTCAGTTAAGTGAGATTGTGAATGCTGGACAAGTCATGAGTATTTACCATAATGCAAAAATCAAATTAGGGACCCACAAGAAAACTGAAATTTATGTGTAATTAATCCATTCCTACATACCTTTTAAAAGTTTAACTTCTTCATATAGTTAAATAGTACAATGTCTTCAGTCAAAATAATCACCAATTTCTGCTGACATTCATAACATCCTAATTGGTATTTTGGGATGCCAATGAAAATAGAACTATTAGTTCTTGGCACAAAAGCCACGGTACATTTTCTGGCTCCTTTTTGAACTAAATCAAACATACACAGCCACCCTAAGGTGTCCTTTGGAGAACAGCAAGGCACATCATTATCTACAGTTTTATGCAGTCTTCTACTAGATATGACCAAAACATTACATTTCATAAAGCAAAGATATAAAAATCAAATTTCAGTACATACTATCCCATATCTAAGAAAGGACATTTTTGCTTTCAGACTCTTGAAATCAGCCTGCACTGAAAAAGGGCCATTACCTTTTTTGCTCCTTGTTCTTCTTCAACACCATCCCCTATAACAACATATACTACTTTTCTTCCAAATCTTTGAATTATTCGCTCAAAACAACTTTCCTTTCCTGAAAGAAAAAATCAAACTATTCAGGATAGGTGATGATGGGATACAATTAGATCACTTTTTTATTATTTTTGCCTGGACTTTCCCAACCCTTCCAATATATAATTACCACTACTGAGAGAGCCAAGAGGTGAGCCCCTCCTGCAGGAAGAGGAGGATGAAGATACCATCAGTGTGATGATGTATCGAGGCACACTGCAGCTTTACTGCTGCTAGAGCACCTGACAGGCAACCTTAAAATCTGCTTGGTAAGGTCCTTTAATACACACGACATGGTAGACATAGGGTACTAGAGAGCCACGGTATCACCTTTCTTGTCTCCTTTACTAATCTGAGACAGGTTTCAGAGGGAACTTCCCTACCAGGAGAATTCCCTACTGGCTATTTACCAACAGGATCCTGAACAAAACTTGATGGAATCTGAGTAGAAATTCTAGCTTTTTCTCTACAATCTATGGCAAGATTAATCACAGCTCCTGAAACAGCAGTATCCTGACTTAGAAGGTCACCAAAAAGATTTAAATTTAAATGCATGTAATCCAATACATGGACAAGGTCCTTGATCCCGCACTGGGATCCAATAAGTGGCTCATTACTTCACTGCACAGACTGAGAGAAATGAATCCCAATACTCTAACTCTACACTGAATCCCAAGTCTCTACACACAGTTTTTCAAGTACTGAGAATACCAAGAATCCAGAAAGAAAGTAAATGCTTACAGTGAAATTTTCTTAAATGTTGCCATTTGTAAAGATTTCATCAGTCTGTTCATAATACGTGCTTACCTGTGTCTCTAAAGCATCCAAAAGGAAAAACAGTGTTTCAGACACAAGTTATTTCTGCTACAGGACAATGCCAACTCAAGAATAAATAGGCTGGAAATTTAAAAAAGGTTTCTAGCCAGCAGAGGAACAAAACTATTCAAGAATAGCCTTTAATAGTAGTACCAGACACCAGAAACCTCCAACACTAACTAGGCTAAGATAATGCTTGAAAATTATCAATCTTTTCATATTACAAAAATCTCATGATTGCCTGTGACAATCAGTGACTCAACTCAGTATTCCAAAAGCAACCTTCTCTCCCGTGTACTTAAAGTCACAAATGAACATTCATTAAAATGTGTTTTAATTGAAATGTGTATCTAAAGCATTACAATTCAAAGTTTTAATTTACTTTCATGTTTCTACAAACACGACAGTAATGCTTCTTTCCAGGAAATGATTTTAAATCTTTTGTGGTAATGCTTTCGAATTCTACATAAAATTCTCAACTAAGTTTTCTAAAATCAAAAGCAAACAGGCAAAACTAACCCACCAGTTTTTCTTGGCCTTTTGAGCTTCCTGTATTATAGATATTTAAGAACACATGAAAAATGTTTTCATGTAGCCCACAATTTTGAGGGACTCTGAGACAGAACAGATATGTCATAATCACATTAAAAACGAAAAGCACCCTTGCCATCTGGTACTATGTACTTCTACATGCTCAGAATAACATCTTTTATACTGAACCAGAAAACAGAAATAAACATTTGCCTGGCTGAAGCTTATTACGTTCAACATGAATTAACTTAAATAATTACCTTCTGCAGCAAAACATTCTTGCTTCTGGTAAATTATTTATCAAAATTTTGCTTCATAGCATATGAAAATGCATGCAGTCAGGGCTTACCACTATAGAATTTCTGCAGTTAATCTAGGATTACTTGAATGTTCTGAGTTTACAGCCTCCTAGAAATTATCTAAACTGCTACATAGCCTTACAGTTTTTAGAAATGATGTCAAAAAGCTATTGTATTGCCTCCTCCCAGAGGCTGCTTCAGTAAGTTTATAGTTTATAGTATGAAGTCTTCTGTGCCGGATTATGACATATATTTGTAAAGCAGATGTAGGATGCCTCAGCATGAAAAGTGTTTCATGAGATCAGTTGTTATTACTCTCTATGTGCTACAGTGAATGTATGTTGAGAAATTATAAATATAGACTACTATAGCATTTGATTTAGAATTACAGCTTCAATATATCACAACATTATACAAATCGCTCACCTATTTTAGTTGCACTGTAAATATTCTCTATGGGAAATACAACCCCTAATCCATACAACAAGACTTTTGCCAGAGCTGGAATAAGCTGAGTAGTTGTTACGAGAATGTTCACACAATTTGTCCTGCAGAACAGAAAACACAAACACCCTTTTTTAATCAAACAGCATGAGGAATACCTTAGCACTCTCATCAGAAACCCTCATCAATACTATTGCCATACTTTCTTTGCAAACAAAGTTAGTTTTCACCACTTGAGAGGAAAGAAGGCATACAGTGGCAAGGCCAAACCAGAACAGCGAATAAGGAAAAGGTCCTCCAGGTTCGACATTTTGTCCACCAGACCCAGCAGCCTCTTCTAAAATATCAGCAGACATCTGAACGGTTCATATCTAGTCCTTACTCTTGGTACTCACCTTGAATGAATAAGTGTGAGTGCTTTCAGTGCAAGCGTCAACCAAGAATCTGTCAAAGCTTCAATTTCTGCTCTTAGTTGTAACCAGGCCTCTCTCTTGGCCGGACCAAGAAGACCTGTGGAACAGACAAGGGCATGTCTGCACTGAAATTAGGTACCGTTCTGTCATTTTCCTTTACTTGCATTAGCTCAGAGAGAACTTTCGACACAGTGTGAGCTAAACAGCGCACAAAAGAAACATTACCATGTTAAAAAAGGAACAGAAAAGAAGAGAAAAGACATTCCTTTTTAATACTTCTCATTCGTCTTGTTATATACTTCATAGTCACTTGCCTCCAACATTATTTTTGTAGGTGTTATATATTTCTTTTACTCGTCTGTAGCGGAAAGCCAATTTTCTCATCCAGTCCACTCCTCCACGCACACCCGTTGCTAGGCACAAATTAGCGCTGGTGGCTGCTGCAGGAAAGCCATCTGTTCCAAAGTTATAGGTGCTATTTGGATATAAGAAAACCCCCAAATTAACAAGATGAAACGGGCAAAGTTCAACCATGAGCTATTCACAACTAAGTTGCAAAGGCGAGCTAAAAAGACTGGGCTACTGTAAAGCTTTACAACAGTTTACCACTTTCCCAGGAAAGTACTTGCAAAGCAACATTTTATCTTGTTCAGTTCTGTTGTACCTTAAATCTTGACCATTGTCATCTGAAGATACGTCATCAATGTGAACCTGGTCGCATTCCTGAGGTGAAAGAAAGACATTATGATTTTCTTTATCTTGCAAATCTTAAAAACCAAGCTATAAAAAAAGGAATAATCTACTCATCAGGATTATTTTTAATTGTGCAAATCAGTAGATGGCACTCTTGTTAAAACAACTATTTTACCTATTGCTTGTGCTCATTTCTTAGAATAAAAGCACACGATCGTTAACTGCTCCTATTAAATAGCTTTCCAAAAACACATTTTTGTGTTTAGAAAGGAAAGTGGTTAAAAACAATTAGCATATGTGTTCCATAAACATTCTTGTAGCCTTTCAGGTACCTTAAAACATCACGCTGCTCAAAGCTGATTCAGTCAGTGCATAAGTGTAACTGAAACCAGACATTTTGGTAAATGTAACATATTAGAAAAATTAAACCTGATGCTAACCGCCAATGAAATTATGACCTCTGATTGCTGTTGAGCCACACACCAACACAGCCTGAGGCCAGTTTTTCAGAGGAGTGCAGACAAAAAAATCTGTTCCTAGTTTGCCATTCATTTGAGAGCTGTGAGTTTCCTTCTCCCTCTTTGGTCTTAGTGCATGAAAGCAGCATGAAAAGATGAAGAAAAGCTGAACAGAAATAGCCAAATCAAACTGTCCTCCTTCAGCAACTTGTACACAAACTTACACGGCACATTCATAATTAGCTTTATCTACCACTAAATTAAAAATCATAATGAATATGGTTTGTCCATTAGAAAGCATTAGAACATTACGACTAACAATTTGACGTTTGGCAGGAAAACAAATAAACCTGTGGCACTGTAGATCAATCTCAATCCCATGCTTGAAACAACAATGGATTGCTATTATTTTAACAATTTCCTCTTCTCTCTCCTAATGTGAAATCTTATAACAAACATGATATATTTTAAAAATGAAAATATTGGAATCCTTTATTTTTGTGTTACTGCTTTCCCCTGAACAAATTTTTTTCTCTCCATGGATTTGTGAGGAAGGGAGGGAAGATAGAAGTGGAAAGAAACTCAAACCAGCTGTTCCCTAACAGAATTAAAATCATGACCCTCAACCCTTTTTCTAAAACATCTATTTTCCAGCCAACCCTCTCCCAGCAAGCAGCAAGCTCCAAGGAGGAAAAGACTTTGACCCTGTAACCTTCTCCTCCTCTCCTGAGGTCAACAACCTCAGATAAGAAAAAAGCAGAAGTCTATTTGGCCTCACATCATGATTGTGGATTCTACATTTTTAAAAACATAGGTCTATGAAAAATACCTTGGGAACTTTTCAAACTTTTTTGGAAGTAGAAGGGGTGGTCTTTTGCACTTGTACAACATGCCCTTATTCTTAATGTAATACATAGTTTCGCATTTTATATAGCAGTAGTTTGCATTAGAGAGAGAGAGAGAGAGGAAAGACAGACAATCAGGATAGGAAAGATGAACAACCAGGATATGAAGGACACTACTATATGTGTTCATATTCAACCACCATCTAGTGAATTTCCTCCTCAGGCAGAAAGAATGGATTAGACACACAGACAGAGCTGAAATTACAAATGTGAATATATTAAGGGCTTGAAAATCTATTCGGCTAAGAAAAGCAGGGATTTTCTTCAGAAAGTTACCAAATTCACAGAAATTAAGTTTTTTTGTTTAAAATCAAAAGAAACTTTCCAACCTACAGGCATGTGGAGTTAAGAATTTAAATACAAACTAAGAATAAGTTAATGAAGTCACATCCTCCTGAGCCTGCAAGTTTCCCATTTCAGTGTCTCTCCTACTGCTCAGCGATTTCTCTAAGTTTCCATGGATAGAAAACTTAAATCTTGAGTTGTCACTGTAGCAATGAAAATTATCAAGTCAATAGCTTCCTCTCCTAGCTTGGAAATGATGAATGACAACTGGAACAAGTTGCTAGAGAAGATTCAAAACGAAAATCAAGGAAAGAGAGACACTTTTTGTAGTAACCACAAAAGTAAAGGAAGGAGTAGAAGATCATCTTCTCATAGGAGATCCTAAAAGAAGGAAGAACCCTAAAAACATCCTAATGCAATTTGCTTGGGCAAAAGCTGGAAATGGGAAGGAGGAGACGGTTGTGTCTTTGATCCCGCAATTAGAGAGGGCCAGAGGAGATGGAACTTTAATTTACACGTGCAAGGTCCTGGGACCATCACAAACTTTGGGACATCACAAGCCTTTTCCCCTTTTGTCTAACCACGCTCATTTTCCATCTGCTTGTTAGGTAGAAAGCGAGAACTGAAAGGATACATTCAAAATAGCAATTATGGTATTGAAAGAGAGGGATTTTGGAGAGAAAAACCTGGAAGAGAGATCAAAGACTAAAAATTGCTGGGGTAATGGTAGAAAAACTGTGTCAAGAAAGAAAGCGAAGAGAAGAAAAGGTCATGAACATCACAAATTTCAGGTGAAATACTGAATGCAGTGGAAAAGCATACTGTCATCTTTTGGCAGGAATAAAAGAGGAAAAAAGAATCAAGTCAGGAAGGGAAAGAAGAAAGACAAAAATACAAGAGATACACATTATAATTTGGAAAGGATTAAAGATAAACGTGATTGACACTACATTACAGCTAAAGGAAGGTCACAAGCAGTGCACAACTGTTTTGTTCCTCTTGAGTGGCAGGACATGGCTTTGAGGCTAAATGTGAGATTCAAGTGCCAGGTATTTTTCACACTATCTTGCTGACCTGGACATTGGGTTGGAGAGTGATAGGTGTGCTTTTCAATCCCTGAACATGGGAAGCAAATACGTTCATTTAGCAATTGAACTCCTCCTCCAGCAGAGAAGTTATTTAGCAATAACTCTTTTCAAAGAAGTCCATTACCTGTGCACTGTTAATTGACTGATACCAACCTTCTATTTGAACCCCTTGTGTTTGTTTTCACCTGCTTGCTTTGCACGGAGCATTTTGTTCATGGGCAAAGGCAACTATCTGAGGCACTGTTCAGTGCCTTGAGGTTTAAGCAGGCATCAAGTTGAAACTTTTTTAAAATACTAGTTTACCCAGTGTGCATCATAATCAGGGTTATACTAAAATGAAGTTTGACACTGACAAATAAAATGGGCATTCCCAATGAGTATATTTTTGCAAAGGTATATTTTAATAAAAATACAAAAACTCAGAAAATCCTCCAGTACTTCCCCCAAAAGCTTCTGTGACTGGGAGCTAAGTTAGAGCTAAACAACTATTCAGGAAAAAATTAGTTTGTGTGCAGGTTTACCTTTTTAATCCTTTACAGCCATATTTGGCACTTGTTTATAACTTTTTCATAGGAAATACAGTATTATCATTCTCCCTCTAATTTATTTGGTAAAGTGATATTTGCAATTAATATTGAAAGTCTCTTTAGAAACACTATAAATATATGCTATGTATGCAGATGTATTTTATTATGCTAGAATCAGCTTAGCAGTCAGCTGTAAAGCAGCACATTAAAATTGTTTGATTCTCTTTGAAAATAGGTTGAATTGGCAAGTGAGGAGCAAAATATCCTGTGGCTCATGTATAAAGACTATACAGCAAGCTGTTATTTTGCTTCTAAAGGTGTTGACCTTGCAACTTCAGTGCATCTAGTTTGAAATCTTCATGGGGAACAAGTGATGACATGTTTGCACTAAAGGTTTGGATTTCAATCAGACAGGCTGAGATGCAGTGCTGCACTGTGAGAGCAATCATGAGAAAGCAAAATGCCCTTGGTACAGTTTAGGGATCATACTTTCAGAAGTGCAAAGAACGTCAGGAGTCTAAACCTTACTCTTATATAGGTCCATCTAAATAACCCTGATTTTAATGAAACCATCTCTGAAGGGCTTAACTCACATTTGAAAATAGGATTTGGGCTCCTAAACCGTACAGACATTTTAAAAGATGTTATTCATGGTGTCACATGCACTCTCTGTAGATGAGGGGCAAATATAAGACAGGACAGGTGTTCACAATGAGTAATTTAGTCAGTTTAGGGAAGCAAGGCTGCTCTGACACCTCCCCACCCCGTCAACGGAGACAGACTTGTCTGCCAGCTGACTCAGACAGCCCAAGCTGGACTCGTGCTCCCAAGTCTCCTGCCCAGAGGAGTTTATTTCCCTACAGTGAAAACAACAGAAATCAGAGGAACCAGCAACCTTAGGTTAAAATTTAGCACAAGTAAATAACTTCCTAGACAGTCAAGAAGGCTACTACCATACGTTTACTCAACGTTGCAACTGCGTGCCACGAGAGGGAGAGAAAACGTCCCTCGAGGGGAGGGTACGCTGCTGTCCCACTCTTCCCCCAGGCCTCGGATGTGGATTTCCCTGCCTCTCTTACAACGGAGGCCAACAAGCATAGGGCAAGCCGGTCAGAAACCTGGATGGATTCTCTTTCTCGGCTGCTCTTCTGCCAGATCCGCACGCTGCACCGAGCGCCACTGTGGGAAAAGGCAGGCGTGCGGCTGGGCGGTGGGAGCAGGACTGCCCTTCTGGGCAGCAGCCCGCGGTTACACTGCACCCTCAGAGAGCCATGTTAAATAAGTACAAGTGGTGAGCCGGGGAGCTTTGTTCAAAAGGCTTCATGGAAAAACTACATTTTAAGAAGGAATTTGGGGCAGAGAGAAAATTCTTTGGCTGTAAAGGGAGAGAGCAGGACTTTTCAGCACAGGAATGGCAGCATGAAAGAATGAAAGCTATGAAAAGCAGGATACAAACGCTTTTAGGAGGGAGGCCTGAACAAAAGCTACTGTCACACGCGAGAAGGGTGAGACTTCCGACAAATCTTTAAAAAAAATGTGGATGACAAGAAAATGGGATCTGAAAACGTCAGTAGCATGCTCAAAGCAGCTGAAAAGAGGTATGATGTCAGCAGTGGTCTGGGGGCTGTCTGAGGTCTTATCAGTTAGTCTAGGGGAAAATGAGAGTGTTGGCACACGTAGCTTAGCAAATCTACCTATAGTAGTTCAAGAAGTTATTGTCCATGCTGTCCTTCTGCTGGGACTTCCTGTGCTCTCAGCAAAGCTGGT